ATTACGGCAAATATCAAGTTTTACGGAACCATTTTGACAATTATGTATTTAGCTACATAACAAATAAATAAAATAATATAAATTTTGATGCTATATTCGATTTTTTGTTACGTATTTTCATTTTCTTCTTTGTTTTGCGGCATTTTAGAATACTTTGGCTGGAATACTAAGTTTCCTAAGTTGAACAAAAAACTGCAGCTATTTCGTTTATGCTTTGTTACCTCACTTTTCCATTGTTGTTTTTAGATCGCTTTCTTCTATTCATTTTGATGGGCAACAGCGAAATTCTGAAATTTAGAATGATCTTATTCCACTTCAAAAATAAATCCTGTTAAAAGGATTATATTAAATTAATATACGACCAAAATGCTTTTGACAAAAAAAAAAAAAGACAAAAGAAAAGAAGCCTAATGAGTTTACCATAATTATGTAAGAATAATGTAATGATATTCCGCAGACAAATCTATGGTTTATGTTACCTCATCTCATTGCATTGCATGGTTACGAACTATAAACCTAAATTGAGCTTGAAATCTTGTGTAATCGGTTCTAATATTTTTGTAAAATACTTGGATATGATATAATGAATAGTTTTAAAGCAATTTTCAATATTTTTCAAATATTTTTTTGAATACGCCCTTCCAATGCCGAACGCGTTAAATTACCTTGTTATATTTTTCTTTATTTGGCTAAACTTGCTGCTATGTTCCTCAAGTTGAAGCATAATATGTGATTCAAGCCAGGAGCTACTGGCAGAATGAACTGAAGTATGTCATGGGTTCACCCTAAGAGATGACAAAGAGTAGAAAGACGACCTATCTTCTACACACTAATTCTTGAACATGAAGTCGTCCATCCGCTATGAATATATCGTCTTTTTCATAGAAACATTAATCACAAAGTGGGCGGCAAGGCGTAGTATTTGAGTCGTACGCATTGCCGCACTTTCTTCATTTTCATTTTTTTTCATCGTCTGATTTAATTCTCCTTCTCTCTTAACAGTCTTATTCGGCTTTTGCTATTTCGTGTTCTTCTTCTTCTTCTTCTTCTTCTTCATTTTGTTGTTACACACTTTTTCTATTTCTTCCTTGTTGAGCATCGTTTTCTTCTTGCTATAATGACTTTCTTTTTTATTTCTAATCCCCTCATCTTTTTTGTTTATCTTTCTTTCTTTCTCTCTTTCTTTCTTTCTTTCTTTCTTTCTTTCTAGCTTGCATATATTTTCTCTTTCTTTCTTTCTTTCTTTCTAGCTTGCATAACTTTTCTCTTTCTTTTTTGTTTCTCTTTCTTTCTTTCTTTTTTCTACCTTACATAACATTTTTCTTTCTTTTTTGTTTGTCAATCGTTCTTGTTTATCTTTCTTTCTTTCTTTCTAGCTTGCATGACTTTTTCTCTTTCTTTTTTGTTTATCAATCGATCTTTCTTTCTTTCTTTCTTTCTTCTGAATATAAAAGGAGCTAGGTGGATCAGAGGGTTGACTTGGAAGTTCACCGTAAAGTCGCCAATTGCCGAGTCGAGCCTCAAAAGACGTCGGGGGGGGGGCAAAGAAACCGGAAGTCAACTTAGCTGAACATAGGACACAGACACACAGACACACACATGCTGGGGGACAAAAAACTTTCACGAGAGAGAAAGCAGAGATCCTTAAATTCATCCTTGAGAAGGTGATTGAACACGAGAAATCCCCCGAAACCACATACCCTCCACGTTAATTTGTCAGAGTTCAGAAGGGTATAAATAATTATTTTACGTATGAAATATATAGTCTCGTATTCTCTAAGAGTTTACTAGCGTGATATCATTGGAGCATTATGGAGACGGAGTTTATAAATTTGTTTCACGCCAAATTGTAAAAGCGACCTTAACTTGGAAAAAAAACAAAACTCTTTCAATTGTTTTTTCTTTTTAGTTTCAAGCAACTCCTCTTCCTCCCCCTTCTTCATTTGCTTCTCAATTCTCCTCTTACTCCTCCTCCTCTTCCTTCTTCTTTTCAATCCTCCTCCTCCTCATCCTTCCTTCCTTTCTTCTTCTTCTTCTTCTTCTTGGTAGTAGCACTTGTTAAGGCCCCAGCTAGGGTCAAATAGCGAACCTGTAAGCTGGGGTCAAAACATTATTAAAAATACATTTTCATAGTAGAACACATTACTAGGAATACAATACTAGAAAGAGAAATTGCCAGAGCTGAAGTCCTCAAAAAAATCAAATTTTGTCATTAAATGAACCGTAAAGAGTTGATATCCCGTTAAACAAACATAACCAAACCAAAAATCTTCTTCTTTTTCAGTATAAAACTGTTTATTCTTCGCTTTATTTCTTTTAGATTGTCTCTTGGAAGCTAATTTTTAATATATCCTTTCTTCTTCTTCTTCTTCTTCTTCTTCTTCTTCTTCTTTTGTACCTTTCCTCCTTGAATGTATTCTTCTTCTTCTTTTTCTTCTTCCTCTTCTTCTAGTTATTCTTCTTCTACTTTTGTACCTTTCTTCCTTGAATGTATTCTTCTTCTTCTTTTTCTTCTTCTTCTTCTTCTTCTTTTGTATCTTTCTTCCTTGAATGTATTCTTCTTCTTCTTCTTTTTCTTCTTCTTCTTCTTCTTCTTCTTCTAGTTATTCTTCTTCTTTTGTACCTTTCTTCCTTGAATGTATTCTTCTTCTTCTTTTCTTCTTCCTCTTCTTCTTCTTGTTATTCTTCTCTTTTTGTACCTTTCTTCCTTGGATGTATTCTTCTTCTTCTTTTCTTCTTCCTCTTCTTCTTCTTCTTGTTATTCTTTTTCTTTTTGTACCTTTCTTCCTTGAATGTATTCTTCTTCTTCTTTTCTTCTTCCTCTTCTTCTTCTTCTTGTTATTCTTCTTCTTTTGTACCTTTCTTCCTTGAATGTATTCATCTTCTTCTTTTTTCTTCCTCTTCTTCTTCTTCTTGTTATTCTTCTTCTTTTGTACCTTTCTTCCTTGAATGTATTCTTCTTCTTCTTTTCTTCTTCTTCTTCTTCTTCTAGTTATTCTTTCTTCTTTTGTACCTTTCTTCTTTGAATGTATTCTTCTTCTTTTTTTCTTCTTCCTCTTCTTCTTCTTCTTGTTATTCTTCTTCTTTTGTACCTTTCTTCCTTGAATGTATTCTTCTTCTTCTTTTCTTCTTCCTCTTCTTCTTCTTCTTGTTATTCTTCTTCTTTTGTACCTTTCTTCCTTGAATGTATTTTTCTTCTTCTTTTTCTTCTTCCTCTTCTTCTTCTTCTTGTTATTCTTCTTCTTTTGTACCTTTCTTCCTTGAATGTATTCTTCTTCTTCTTTTTCTTCTTCTTCTTCTTCTTCTTCTTCTTCTTCTTCTTCTAGTTATTCTTCTTCTTTTGTACCTTTCTTCCTTGAATGTATTCTTCTTCTTCTTTTTCTTCTTCCTCTTCTTCTTCTTCTTGTTATTCTTCTTCTTTTGTACCTTTCTTCCTTGAAATGTATTATTCTTCTTTTCTTCTTCCTCTTCTTCTTCTTCTTCTTTGTACCTTTCTTCCTTGAATGTATTCTTCTTCTTCTTTTCTTCTTCTTCTTCTTCTTCTTTTGTATCTTTCTTCCTTGATGTATTCTTCTTCTTCTTCTTCTTTTCTTCTTATTCTTCTTCTTCTTCTTCTTCTAGTTATTCTTCTTCTTTTACCTTTCTTCCTTGAATTTATTCTTCTTCTTTTTCTTCTTTCTTCTTCTTCTTCTTGTTATTCTTCTTCTTTTTTGTACCTTTTCTTCCTTAGATGTATTCTTCTTCTTCTTTTCTTCTTCCTCTTCTTCTTCTTCTTGTTATTCTTCTTCTTTTTACCTTTTCTTCCTTGAATGTATTCTTCTTCTTCTTTTTCTTCTTCCTCTTCTTCTTCTTCTTGTTATTCTTCTTCTTTTTACCTTTCTTCCTTGAATGTATTCTTCTTCTTCTTTTCTTCTTCTTCTTCTTCTTCTTAGTTATTCTTCTTCTTTTGTACCTTTCTTCCTTGAATGTATTCTTCTTCTTCTTTTCTTCTTCCTCTTTTCTTCTTCTTGTTATTCTTCTTCTTTTGTACCTTTCTTCCTTGAATGTATTCTTCTTCTTCTTTTTCTTCTTCCTCTTCTTCTTCTTCTTGTTATTCTTCTTCTTTTGTACCTTTCTTCCTTGAATGTATTCTTCTTCTTCTTTTTCTTCTTCCTCTTCTTCTTCTTCTTGTTATTCTTCTTCTTTTGTACCTTTCTTCCTTGAATGTATTCTTCTTCTTTTTTTTCTTCTTCTTCTTCTTCTTCTTCTTCTTCTTCTTCTAGTTATTCTTCTCCTTTTTGTACCTTTCTTCCTTGAATGTATTCTTCTTCTTCTTTTCTTCTTCTTCTTCTTCTTCTTCTTGTTATTCTTCTTCTTTTGTACCTTTCTTCCTTGAATGTATTCTTCTTCTTCTTTTCTTCTTCCTCTTCTTCTTCTTCTTCTTTTGTACCTTTCTTCCTTGAATGTATTCTTCTTCTTCTTTTTTCTTCTTCTTTTCTTCTTCTTCTTCTTCTTCTTCTTTTGTTCTTTCTTCCTTGAATGTATTCTTCTTCTTCTTCTTCTTTTCTTCTTCTTCTTCTTCTTCTTCTAGTTATTCTTCTTCTTTTGTACCTTTCTTCCTTGAATGTATTCTTCTTCTTTATTTCTTCTTCCTCTTCTTCTTCTTCTTGTTATTCTTCTTCTTTTGTACCTTTCTTCCTTGAATGTATTCTTCTTCTTCTTTTTCTTCTTCCTCTTCTTCTTCTTCTTGTTATTCTTCTTCTTTTGTACCTTTCTTCCTTGAATGTATTCTTCTTCTTCTTTTTCTTCTTCCTCTTCTTCTTCTTCTTGTTATTCTTCTTCTTTTGTACCTTTCTTCCTTGAATGTATTCTTCTTCTTCTTTTCTTCTTCCTCTTCTTCTTCTTCTTGTTATTCTTCTTCTTTTTACCTTTCTTCCTTGAATGTATTCTTCTTCTTCTTTTTCTTCTTCCTCTTCTTCTTCTTCTTGTTATTCTTCTTCTTTTGTACCTTTCTTCCTTGAATGTATTCTTCTTCTTTTTTTCTTCTTCCTCTTCTTCTTCTTCTTGTTATTCTTCTTCTTTTGTACCTTTCTTCCTTGGATGTATTCTTCTTCTTCTTTTCTTCTTCCTCTTCTTCTTCTTCTTGTTATTCTTCTTCTTTTGTACCTTTCTTCCTTGAATGTATTCTTCTTCTTCTTTTCTTCTTCCTATTATTCTTCTTCTTTTATTCTTCTTCTTTTTGTACCTTTCTTCCTTTGAATGTATCTTCTTCTTCTTCTTTTCTTCTTCCTCTTCTTCTTCTTCTTGTTATTCTTCTTCTTTTGTACCTTTCTTTCTTGAATGTATTCTTCTTCTTCTTTTTCTTCTGTCTCTTCTTCTTCTTCTTGTTATTCTTCTTCTTTTGTACCTTTCTTCCTTCTGATGTATTCTTCTTCTTCTTTTTCTTCTTCCTCTTCTTCTTCTTCTTGTTATTCTTCTTCTTTTGTACCTTTCTTCTTGAATGTATTCTTCTTCTTCTTTTTTCTTCTTCCTCTTCTTCTTCTTCTTGTTATTCTTCTTCTTTTGTACCTTTCTTCCTTGAATGTATTCTTCTTCTTCTTTTTCTTCTTCCTCTTCTTCTTCTTCTTGTTATTCTTCTTCTTTTGTACCTTTCTTCCTTGAATGTATTCTTCTTCTTCTTCTTCTTCTTGTTATTCTTCTTGTTTTGTACCTTTCTTCCTTGAATGTATTCTTCTTCTTCTTTTTCTTCTTCCTCTTCTTCTTCTTCTTGTTATTCTTCTTCTTTTGTACCTTTCTTCCTTGAATGTATTCTTCTTCTTCTTTTTCTTCTTCTTCTTCTTCTTCTTCTTCTAGTTATTCTTCTCCTTTTGTACCTTTCTTCCTTGAATGTATTCTTCTTCTTCTTTTTCTTCTTCCTCTTCTTCTTCTTCTTGTTATTCTTCTTCTTTTGTACCTTTCTTCCTTGAATGTATTCTTCTTCTTCTTTTTCTTCTTCCTCTTCTTCTTCTTCTTCTTTTGTACCTTTCTTCCTTGAATGTATTCTTCTTCTTCTTTTTCTTCTTCTTCTTCTTCTTCTTTTGTATCTTTCTTCCTTGAATGTATTCTTCTTCTTCTTCTTCTTTTTCTTCTTCTTCTTCTTCTTCTAGTTATTCTTCTTCTTTTGTACCTTTCTTCCTTGAATGTATTCTTCTTCTTCTTTTTCTTCTTCCTCTTCTTCTTCTTCTTGTTATTCTTCTTCTTTTGTACCTTTCTTCCTTGAATGTATTCTTCTTCTTCTTTTTCTTCTTCCTCTTCTTCTTCTTCTTGTTATTCTTCTTCTTTTGTACCTTTCTTCCTTGAATGTATTCTTCTTCTTCTTTTTCTTCTTCCTCTTCTTCTTCTTCTTCTTTTGTACCTTTCTTCCTTGAATGTATTCTTCTTCTTCTTTTTCTTCTTCTTCTTTTTCTTCTTCTTCTTCTTCTTCTTCTTTTGTATCTTTCTTCCTTGAATGTATTCTTCTTCTTCTTCTTCTTTTTCTTCTTCTTCTTCTTCTTCTTCTAGTTATTCTTCTTCTTTTGTACCTTTCTTCCTTGAATGTATTCTTCTTCTTCTTTTCTTCTTCCTCTTCTTCTTCTTCTTGTTATTCTTCTTCTTTTGTACCTTTCTTCCTTGAATGTATTCTTCTTCTTCTTTTTCTTCTTCCTCTTCTTCTTCTTCTTGTTATTCTTCTTCTTTTGTACCTTTCTTCCTTGAATGTATTCTTCTTCTTCTTTTTCTTCTTCCTATTCTTCTTCTTCTTTTTATTCTTCTTCTTTTGTACCTTTCTTCCTTGAATGTATTCTTCTTCTTCTTTTTCTTCTTCCTCTTCTTCTTCTTCTTGTTATTCTTCTTCTTTTGTACCTTTCTTTCTTGAATGTATTCTTCTTCTTCTTTTTCTTCTGTCTCTTCTTCTTCTTCTTGTTATTCTTCTTCTTTTGTACCTTTCTTCCTTGAATGTATTCTTCTTCTTCTTTTTTCTTCCTCTTCTTCTTCTTCTTGTTATTCTTCTTCTTTTGTACCTTTCTTCCTTGATGTATTCTTCTTCTTCTTTTTCTTCTTCCTCTTCTTCTTCTTCTTGTTATTCTTCTTCTTTTGTACCTTTCTTCCAGCAAGATGTGTTCTTCTTCTTCTTTTCTTCTTCCTCTTCTTCTTCTTCTTGTTATTCTTCTTCTTTTGTACCTTTCTTCCTTGAATGTATTCTTCTTCTTCTTCTTCTTCTTGTTATTCTTCTTGTTTTGTACCTTTCTTCCTTCTTCTTCTTCTTTTTCTTCTTCCTCTTCTTCTTCTTCTTGTTATTCTTCTTCTTTTTTACTTTTCTTCCTTGGAATGTATTCTTCTTCTTCTTTTCTTCTTCTTCTTCTTCTTCTTCTTCTAGTTATTCTTCTCCTTTTGTACCTTTCTTCCTTGAATGTATTCTTCTTCTTCTTTTTCTTCTTCCTCTTCTTCTTCTTCTTGTTATTCTTCTTCTTTTGTACCTTTCTTCCTTGAATGTATTCTTCTTCTTCTTTTCTTCTTCTTCTTCTTCTTCTTCTTGTACCTTTCTTCCTTGAATGTATTCTTCTTCTTCTTTTCTTCTTCTTCTTCTTCTTTTTGTATCTTTCTTCCTTGAATGTATTCTTCTTCTTCTTTCTTTTCTTCTTCTTCTTCTTCTTCTAGTTATTCTTCTTCTTTTGTACCTTTCTTCCTTGAATGTATTCTTCTTCTTCTTTTTTCTTCTTCCTCTTCTTCTTCTTCTTGTTATTCTTCTTCTTTTGTACCTTTCTTCCTTGAATGTATTCTTCTTCTTCTTTTTCTTCTTCCTCTTCTTCTTCTTCTTGTTATTCTTCTTCTTTTGTACCTTTCTTCCTTTGAATGTATTCTTCTTCTTCTTTTTCTTCTTCTCTTCTTCTTCTTCTTGTTATTCTTCTTCTTTTGTACCCTTTCTTCCTTGAATGTATTCTTCTTCTTCTTTTTCTTCTTCCTCTTCTTCTTCTTCTTGTTATTCTTCTTCTTTTGTACCTTTCTTCCTTGAATGTATTCTTCTTCTTTTTTTCTTCTTCCTCTTCTTCTTCTTCTTGTTATTCTTCTTCTTTTGTACCTTTCTTCCTTGAATGTATTCTTCTTCTTTTTTCTTCTTCTCTTCTTCTTCTTCTTATTCTTCTTCTTCTTACCTTTCTTCCTGAATGTATTCTTCTTCTTCTTTTTTCTTCCTCTTCTTCTTCTTCTTCTTATTTCTTCTTCTTTTGTACCTTTCTTCCTTGAATGTATTCTTCTTCTTTTTTTTCTTCTTCCTCTTCTTCTTCTTCTTGTTATTCTTCTTCTTTTGTACCTTTCTTCCTTGAATGTATTCTTCTTCTTCTTTTTCTCCTTCCTCTTCTTCTTCTTCTTGTTATTCTTCTTCTTTTGTACCTTTCTTCCTTGAATGTATTCTTCTTCTTCTTTTTCTTCCTCTTCTTCTTCTTCTTGTTATTCTTCTTCTTTTGTACCTTTCTTCCTTATGATGTATTCTTCTTCTTCTTTTCTTCTTCCTCTTCTTCTTCTTCTTGTTATTCTTCTTTTTGTACCTTTCTTTTGAATGTATTCTTTTTCTTCTTTTTCTTCTTCCTCTTCTTCTTCTTCTTGTTATTCTTTTCTTTTGTACCTTTCTTCCTTGAATGTATTCTTCTTCTTCTTTTCTTCTTCCTCTTCTTCTTCTTCTTGTTATTCTTCTTCTTTTTGTACCTTTCTTCCTTGAAGATATTCTTCTTCTTCTTTTTTCTTCTTCCTCTTCTTCTTCTTCTTGTTATTCTTCTTCTTTTGTACCTTTCTTCCTTGAATGTATTCTTCTTCTTCTTTTTCTTCTTCCTCTTCTTCTTCTTCTTGTTATTCTTCTTCTTTTGTACCTTTCTTCCTTGAATGTATTCTTCTTTTTTTTTTTTCTTCTTCTTCTTCTTCTAGTTATTCTTCTTCTTTTGTACCGTTCTTCCTTGAATGTATTCTTCTTCTTCTTTTTCTTCCTCTTCTTCTTCTTCTTGTTATTCTTCTTCTTTTGTACCTTTCTTCCTTGAATGTATTCTTCTTCTTCTTTTTCTTCTTCCTCTTCTTCTTCTTCTTGTTATTCTTCTTCTTTTGTACCTTTCTTCCTTGAATGTATTCTTCTTCTTCTTTTTCTTCTTCCTCTTCTTCTCCTTCTTGTTATTCTTCTTCTTTTGTACCTTTCTTCCCTTGATATTCTTCTTCTTCTTTTCTTCTTCCTCTTCTTCTTCTTCTTGTTATTCTTCTTCTTTTGTACTTTTCTTCCTTGGATGTTATTCTTCTTCTTCTTCTTCTTCTTGTTATTCTTCTTCTTTTGTACCTTTCTTCCTTAGATGTATTCTTCTTCTTCTTTTCTTCTTCTTCTTCTTCTTCTTCTTCTTCTAGTTATTCTTCTTCTTTTGTACCTTCCTTCCTTGAATGTATTCTTCTTCTTCTTTTTCTTCTTCCTCTTCTTCTCCTTCTTGTTATTCTTCTTCTTTTGTACCTTTCTTCCTTGAATGTATTCTTCTTCTTCTTTTTCTTCTTCTTCTTCTTCTTCTTCTAGTTATTCTTCTTCTTTTGTACCTTTCTTCCTTGAATGTATTCTTCTTCTTCTTTTCTTCTTCCTCTTCTTCTTCTTCTTGTTATTCTTCTTCTTTTAACCTTTCTTGCTTGAATGTATTCTTCTTCTTCTTTTTCTTCTTCCTCTTCTTCTCCTTCTTGTTATTCTTCTTCTTTTGTACCTTTCTTCCTTGAATGTATTCTTCTTCTTCTTTTTTCTTCTTCTTCTTCTTCTTCTTCTAGTTATTCTTCTTCTTTTTTGTACCTTTCTTCCTTGAATGTATTCTTCTTCTTCTTTTTTTCTTCCTCTTCTTCTTCTTCTTGTTATTCTTCTTCTTTTGTACCTTTCTTCCTTGAATGTATTCTTCTTCTTCTTTTTCTTCTTCCTCTTCTTCTTCTTCTTGTTATTCTTCTTCTTTTGTACCTTTCTTCCTTGAATGTATTCTTCTTCTTCTTTTTCTTCTTCTTCTTCTTCTTCTTCTAGTTATTCTTCTTCTTTTGTACCTTTCTTCCTTGAATGTATTCTTCTTCTTCTTTTTCTTCTTCCTCTTCTTCTTCTTCTTCTTGTTATTCTTCTTCTTTTGTACCTTTCTTCCTTGAATGTATTCTTCTTCTTCTTTTTCTTCTTCTTCTTCTTCTTCTTCTAGTTATTCTTCTTCTTTTTGTACCTTTCTTCCTTGAATGTATTCTTCTTCTTCTTTTCTTCTTCTTCTTCTTCTTTTTTATTATCTTTCTTCCTTGAATGTATTCTTCTTCTTCTTCTTCTTCTTCTTCTTCTTCTTCTTCTAGTTATTCTTCTTCTTTTGTACCTTTCTTTTTTGAATGTATTCTTCTTCTTCTTTTTCTTCTTCCTCTTCTTCTTCTTCTTGTTATTCTTCTTCTTTTGTACCTTTCTTCCTTGAATGTATTCTTCTTCTTCTTTTTCTTCTTCCTCTTCTTCTTCTTCTTGTTATACTTCTTCTTTTGTACCTTTCTTCCTTGAATGTATTCTTCTTCTTCTTTTTTTCTTCTTCTTCTTCTTCTTCTTGTTATTCTTCTTCTTTTTGTACCTTTCTTCCTTGAATGTGTTTCTTCTTCTTCTTTTTCTTCTTCTTCTTCTTCTTCTTCTTCTTCTAGTTATTCTTCTTCTTTTGTACCTTTCTTCCTTGAATGTATTCTTCTTCTTCTTTTCTTCTTCCTCTTCTTCTTCTTCTTGTTATGCTTCTTCTTTTGTACCTTTCTTCCTTGAATGTATTCTTCTTCTTCTTTTCTTCTTCCTCTTCTTCTTCTTCTTGTTATTCTTCTTCTTTTGTACCTTTCTTCCTTGAATGTATTCTTCTTCTTCTTTTCTTCTTCTTCTTCTTCTTCTTCTAGTTATTCTTCTTCTTTTGTACCTTTTCTTCCTTGAGATGTATTCTTCTTCTTCTTTTTTCTTCTTTCTTCTTCTTCTTCTTGTTATTCTTCTTCTTTTGTACCTTTCTTCCTTGAATGTATTCTTCTTCTTCTTCTTCTTCTTCCTCTTCTTCTTCTTCTTGTTATTCTTCTTCTTTTGTACCTTTCTTCCTTGAATGTATTCTTCTTCTTCTTTTCTTCTTCTTCTTCTTCTTCTTCTAGTTATTCTTCTTCTTTTGTACCTTTCTTCCTTGAATGTATTCTTCTTCTTCTTTTCTTCTTCCTCTTCTTCTTCTTCTTGTTATTCTTCTTCTTTTGTACCTTTCTTCCTTGAATGTATTCTTCTTCTTCTTTTTCTTCTTCTTCTTCTTCTTCTTCTTCTTCTAGTTATTCTTCTTCTTTTGTACCTTTCTTCTTCTTCTAGATATATTCTTCTTCTTCTTTTCTTCTTCCTCTTCTTCTTCTTCTTCTTGTTATTCTTCTTCTTTTTTTTACCTTTCTTTCCTTGAATGTATTCTTCTTCTTCTTTTCTTCCTCTTCTTCTTCTTCTTGTTATTCTTCTTCTTTTGTACCTTTCTTCCTTGATGTATTCTTCTTCTTCTTTTTCTTCTTCTTCTTCTTCTAGTTATTCTTCTTCTTTTGTACCTTTCTTCCTTGATGTATTCTTCTTCTTCTTTTTTCTTCCTCTTCTTCTTCTTCTTGTTATTCTTCTTCTTTTGTACCTTTCTTCCTTGAATGTATTCTTCTTCTTCTTCCTCTTCTTCTTCTTCTTGTTATTCTTCTTCTTTTGTACCTTTCTTCCTTGAATGTATTCTTCTTCTTCTTTTTCTTCTTCTTCTTCTTCTTGTTATTCTTCTTCTTTTGTACCTTTCTTCCTTAGATGTATTCTTCTTCTTCTTTTCTTCTTCCTCTTCTTCTTCTTGTTATTCTTCTTCTTTTTGTACCTTTTCTTCCTTGATGTATTCTTCTTCTTCTTTTTCTTCTTCTTCTTCTTCTAGTTATTCTTCTTCTTTTTGTACCTTTCTTCCTTGAATGTATTCTTCTTCTTCTTTTCTTCTTCCTCTTCTTCTTCTTCTTGTTCTTCTTCTTTTTGTACCTTTCTTCCTTGAATGTATTCTTCTTCTTCTTTTTTTTCTTCCTCTTCTTTTTCTTCTTGTTATTCTTCTTCTTTTGTACCTTTCTTCCTTGAATGTATTCTTCTTTTTTTGTACCTTTCTTTCTTGAATGTATTCTTCTTCTTCTTTTTCTTCTTCTTCTTTTAGAACTTTCTTGAATGTATTCTTCTTCTTCTCATGAGGAAAGATGGCTTATAGAATGTAATACTCACAGGGTTGATTGAAGGTATATTCTTTTACCTCCTATTTTTCTAATATTGTTTTACCATCTTCTTCTTCTTCTTCTTCTTTTATAACTTTCTTCCTTGAATGTATTCTTCTTCTTCGTCTTTTACAAGTTTCTTTCTTGAATGTCTTCTTCTTCTTCTTCTTCTTCTTCTTGTGCTTCTCCTTTTACAACTTTCTTCCTTGAATGTATTCTTCTTCTTCTTTTTCGTCTTTTACAACTTTCTTTCTTGAATGTATTCTTCTTCTTCTTCTTCCTCTTCTTCTTCTTTTTCTGTGTGTATCTTTTTCATCTTCATTTTGCTCTTTTCCTTCTTCTTCTGGCTTCTCTCAGATTAATATCTTCTTCATTTTAAGGCTCCTCTTCTTCATTTTGCTCTTTTACTCCCTCTGGCTTCTCATAGGTTAGTTTCTTCCTCTTCTTCTTCTTCTTCTTCTTCTTCTTCTCTTACGTTAGTATCTTCAATTTGCTCTTTTTCACCTTCTGGCTTCTCTTACATTAGTTTCTTCTTCCTCTTCTTCTTCCTCCTCCTTCTCTTCTTCTTCTAACTCGACATCATCAGCAAACTCATGTTACTTCTTTATTTGTCTTTAAAACTATCATAATTATCATAATTATTATCATCTTCTTCTTACTTCTTTTAGATTAGTATCTTCATTTTGTTCTTTTCCATCTTCTAGCTTCTCATAGTTTAGTATCTTCTCCTATGTTAGTATCTTCTTGCTCTTTTACTTCTTCTGGCTTCTTTGATTAGTATTTTCTCCTTCGTTTCGCTCTTCTTCTTCTTTCTTCTTCTTCTTCTTCTTCTTCTTCTTCTTCTTCTTCTTCATCTCTTAGGCTGTCATCAGCATCATCATCATCATCATCAACAGCAGCAAAATCATCCACCTTTATTTGGCTTCTCTAAAGCTATCATGAATATCATAATCGTTTTCTTGTTCTTCTTCTTTCCCCGTCTCCTCTTTCTTTACTTCTCTTGCATCTTCAAACTCTGACTTCTCGTAGGTTATCATCTTTTCCCGCCAACTCCTTCATCTCTCCCACCTTCTTTGGCGCCTCATGTCCTCCTCCTTCCCTCTTCATCATCAAATCCCCCCACTCATCACGCTCTTTCCCTCCCGTTCTTTTCCCCCTTCCATTTCTCTATTAACCGACATAATTTCTATGTAGATAATAACCACTACTTAATCCCTCGAAATTCTTTGCCTCCCGTAACAATTTAGAAAAGCAAATTGACCCTTACAGAGATTTCTCGATTTTCAAACCCGTATTTCACAGCGAGCAGGCCAACATTCTCAGCTTCTGTCGGGTATTGGCCGTAGGGGGTAGGTCATTGGCCGAATTGCAACGAATAAATGTCATTCACCGTAAATTGGTCCAGTGAAAAGCGGCCGTTCTGGTGCACTGGACAAGTAGTGATCTCATTAGATCGCTTAAGGCTTTTGTTCGCTTCAGAATGTCGACTGAATGATTTGCTGGTCAACCGGCCACTCCGATTTTACGACTTTTATTTAGGACCAGGCATTATTTTTGCCTATTTCGCGGCCCTATGCACTCTCCTTCGGACACATTCCTTCGCTTTGTCAACTTTCTCTTCGTATACGGATTTCTTTCAAGTCTAATTTCTTCTTTTAACTGAAAATTCACTTACGCTAGCATATCATCATAATCATCATCATTTTCCGCTTTTTCTTTTTTTCCTTCTTACTTCGCTTAGCTCTTTTCCTTTTCTATTTTTTCTCCATTTTGCTATTCTTCTTCTTCTTCTTCTTCTTCTTCTTCTTCTTCTTCTTCTTCTTCTTCTTCTTCTTGTAACACTGGCTTCTCTTAGGCAGCTACCTTCTTTTTCTTCTTCTTTTTCACTTCGTTTATCTTTTTTTCTTCCTCATTTCATTCTTTTTGTTCTTGTTATTCTTTTTCTTCTTCTTTTCTCCTTTTTCTTCTTCGTCTTCTAACTGATTTCTCTTATGTTAGCATCTTCTTCCTCTTCTTCATTTCGGATTTCTTTTTCTTATACTCCTTCATTTAACACTGGCTTCTCCTTTCCTTCTTCTTCATTTCGTTCTTCTTCTTCTTCTTCTTCTTCTTCTTCTTCTTCTTCTTCTTCTTCTTCTATTTTTTCTTCCTGTAACACTAGCTTCTCTTAGGCAGCCGGCTTCTTTTTCTTCTTTTTAACATCGTTTATCTTTTTCTTCTTCATTTCGATCTTCTTCTTCTTTTTTTTCTTCTTCTTTTCTCCTTTATCTTCTTCGTCTTCTAACTGATTTCCCTTATGTTAGCATCTTCTTCCTCTTCTTCATCTCGGATTTCTTTTTCTTATACTTCTTCTTTTTAACACTGTCTTCTAGGCAGCCATCTTCTTTCCTTCTTCTTCATTTCGTTCTTCTTCTTCTTCTTCTTCTTCTATTTTTTCTTTCTGTAACACTAGCTTCTCTTAGGCAGCCACCTTTTTTTCTTCTTCTTTTTAACTTCGTTTATCTTTTTGTTCTTCATTTCGTTCTCCTTCTTTTTCTTCTTTTTCTTTTCTCCTTTTTCTTCTTCGTCTTCTAACTGATTTTTCTTATGTTAGCATCTTCTTCCTCTTCTTCATCTCGGATTTCTTTTTCTTATACTCCTTCTTTTAACACTGGCTTCTCCTAGGCAGCCATCTTCTTTCCTTCCTCTTCATTTCGTTCGTTCGTTCGTTCGTTCTTCTTCTTCTTCTTCTTCTTCTTCTTCTTCTTCTTCTTCTTCTAACTCTGATTTCTCTTTTGTTAGGATCTTCTTTATCTTCTTCATCTCGTTCTTCTTTTTCTTCTAACACTGGCTTCTCTTAGGCAACTTTATTCTTCTTCATCTTGTTCTTCTTCTTCTCTTTCATCTTTTAACCCTGGTTCCATTTAGGAGCTCTTATACTGTCTTTTTAGCGTCGCAGGAAAGATGAAGCCATTCAAGTGCTTCCTCTTTGAATCTTTTTCATCATTAAATTTTCATCTCCATCTTTAACATCTATATTTCATATCTATGCTTGATTCCCTTCTTAGGTTTATTCTCCCTTTTTGTCTCCTTTCTTTTCTCGTTTTTTTTTGCATTCCCGACAGTTTGCTCTTCTTCCATGATTGCATTCTTCTTCTTCTTCTTCTTCTTCTTCTTCTTCTTCTTCTTCTTCTTCTTCTTCTTCTTCTTCTTTGTTGAGTATCGTTTTCTTCTTTATTTCTCATCCCACTCATCTTTTTTGTTTATTTTTCTTTCTTTCTTTCTTTCTTTCTTTCTAGCTTGCATATATTTTCTCTTTCTTTCTTTCTTTCTTTCTAGCTTACATAATTTTTCTTTTTCTTTTTGTTTCTCAATCGTTCTTTCTTTTTTCTTTCTTTATTTCTTTCTAGCTTGCATGACCTTTTCTCTTTCTATTTTGTTCATCAATCGATCTTTCTTTCTTTCTTTTTTTCTTTCTAACTAACATAACTTTTCTCTTTCTTTTTGTTTCTCAATCGTTCTTTCTTTCTTTATTCTTTCTTTCTTTATTTCTAGCTTACATAAATTTTTCTTTTTTGTTTGTCAATCGATCTTTCGTTCGTTCTTTCTTTCTAGCTTACCTAACTTTTCTCTTTATTTTTGTTCATCAATCGATCTTTCTTTCTTTCTTTCTTTCTTTCTTTCTTTCTTTCTTTCTTTCTTTCTTTCTTTCTAGCTTACATAACTTCATTTTCTTTGTCTCGTTCTTTCCCGTTTACAAATCTTTCTTTCTTTTTCGATTTTTCTTTCTCTTCCTATTCTTTAGTATTTTTTTTTCTTCCTTATCTCCAACTCTCCTTCTCTTTCTCTCTCTCTCTCCCTATTTAACCCGTTTCTTTTTCTAAAACCTGACCATATCTCCCATTTCTTTTCTTTCTCCGTCTTTTATTTAGCTGTCTAAATTCCGAAACCTTTCTCCATAACTCACTTCTGTCTTTTTCTATCAAATTCTGTAATAATATTTTTCTCACCCTCCCCCACCCCCCAACCTACCTCAAAACGATTCTTCCTCCTCTGTTTTTTTCTCTCTCTATTTCTCTCCTTCCCTCACACACTTACAGCCACCCCCACACAAAACATAGTCTGTCTCTTTTTCTATCTCTTTCTCCTTCTTTCACTCCCGGCATTGTTGATGTGCTTTATTCTGAGTGGAAATGTGATTTGCGATTCGAAAGTCATTGATGCGATGGTTCGCGTTGCAAAAATCGCACATAATGGAATCCCGCCCGCCACTGTAACCGGCCAACGTGGAAGGGTGTTGATTATTCGTTCTGTCCAGCGAGTCGACCACTGACTATTTCGGACCAAGTTGAACATTATACACGCTCGGCCCGTCGCGAAAATGAAAAGTATTGCTTGACTTATTGTCGAAATAAATGAGCGTTTTTCATAAATACCGCTCTTTAAGTAGCGCTAAAAGAAAAACCATACAAAAAGAAAAAGAAAAGAAAAAAAAAAAAAGAAAAGCAGCAACAGGAGGAGGAGGAGGAGGAGGCAACAGAAGAGAAGGAGGAGGAGGATGAAGAGGAGGAGGAGAAAAGAACAAGACGGTGCCAGGCGTCCATTTTTGGACCTCGTTCTCGCACGGCGTTACCCTTACGACGTTATCAATTTTCGAAGGCTTTCTCCTTCCGGATGACGTAACTTCCTAAAGACGCCAATCACGCCCGTGTAAGCCATCAAAATCAATCATGATTTTATTCTCGTCATATAACAAACTCTCTTTGCACTTTATTTACAAAATGATAAAGTGGCTAATAAATGAAAAATACACATACGCATTACATAATAGACATTCTCCAATTTCGTTGAAACAAAGATGGCGGATACATCTTCGAGTCTTATTTATTCATTTCTCGAATCCCCGTGTTTAATAATCCTACAACCCAGTAGGGGTCGCTATCATTTAATACGTTCATTTGAAACATACAGCTTTTTATTTTCTTCATTTACTTTCACCTTGGAATAATGGAAGCCATTGCCATAGAAGAAGTTACGGCAGGTTTTAATATAAGAAGTTAATAACCGAAATGCAAATGGACGTACCAAGTTAAGATTTCGACGGAACTAATTTCAATAAAAAGTACAATTCGTATGCTAATAATTCGTAATCTAAGAGGTCGGTTGTTGAGTGCATATTTGATATAGGTAAAGTATTATGCACCAAGAAGCATTTCAGGTAAAGGTGAAGAGATGGTTACTTATCTAGTAACTTTTGCTTTAGTTAAATAAGGGCATAAATGAAATTCTTGTTGGCTGATTAACGTTGGATTATTTGTCTACGGAGATACGAATTAGGCAGTTGTGATGTATCTATATCTCACTCAGCCTATCCGATTTTCTATCTATCTATCTATCTATCTATCTATCTATCTATCTATCTATCTGTCTATCTCAGTCGGTTCAGATCTATCTATATCCCAGTCACCTTTCTAGCTAGCTCGCTAGTACTTTTCATTATCTATCTATCTATCTATCTATCTATCTATCTATCTATCTATCTATCTATCTATCCCAGTCCAGATCTATCTATATATCTATCGCAGTTACCTATCTAGCTAGCTCGCTACTACTTTTCATATCTATCTATCTATCTATCTATCTATCTATCTATCTATCTATCGCAGTTTATATTACTGGATAAAACGAAATGGCCGGTTATACATAGAATCGGAAAAGACAGTTAGAATTTCCGAAACCCATAATAAGAAATGAAAGCTTGTAGAAGTTGACTCTCAAAGACGTAATGAAGACACGAGGCACTGACGGAACAGTGGGGAATCCTAGCTAAAGAGTTTGTGCAAATAGATGACATAACATAGAAAGGGTGATTGACAATCACTCTGCTAAGAGCTACAAAAATATAGACATTTATGTAGAATCATAATTGTTCACTGCCAGAAGAGACATGACACATAGTAGTAGAAGAAGTCAAATAGGTATAGATCAAGGGATCCGGACCGCGAAGGCATTTTGACCGGCCCGCGAGCCTGATTACCAATGACTCTATTTTTAACATGAGAGACGAGGCTTTCGAATTAGACTATCTGCCAGTTATCTTTGACGAGTCTTATTTTACCAAGTTGCGTTGCCTACGTTTAATGTCAAATAATGGATACATATTTGTTATGACCCTTAGCTACATTAAAAGATAACAGAAAGGAAAGCGATAAAGTGAAAGAGGCCAGGGAGGGACTGGCATGCGAGGTAGCAGAAATCTAAAGACAGTTAAACATACGCGCATTATACATACATGCCTCATGAATGTGCCGATGATACCGCATGTGTACGTACGTAAGTGTATAGGTTTGCAACTATTTGTACTCGTATGTATGGGTGGGTATATGTGTTTCGTTTCTGTTTGATGTGTGTGTGTGTGTGGTTCGTTTGTGGAACAATTTTCAATAACAGTTTCAAACCTACACGTCATAATTTCATCCATTTCACTTTGGTTGATTTTTTTCACTTTGAAGTATTTTGACGTTCCTTGAGAAAAAGTAATTTTTGTTAAGTGTTTTTTTAATTTTAGATTTTCTTTTGTTTTTTTCTGATTTCTCAATGTTTATTTTTATTATGGTTTTTAATATTTAGGTTGACAGGGGGTCTGCATATGTAATTTTCCTTAATTTTTCATTAATGGCCTTCGTCCGGCCCGCGACCCGTCATTAAAACAGGATCCGACCCGCGGGGTCGAATGAGTTGCCGACCCCTGCTATAGATAAACACCAACACCTCTGTTATACGTAAGACAATTTCACTTCATAAGGGAATGAATAATGAACGGAACTGAATGAAAATCTATTGTAGATAACACTATCATTCTAAGAACATCTAATTCCAAAAGACGTTTAAAGATAATTGAGGCAGTTTATATAAGGTGTGGAAGAAATACCTTCCACACTTTAAACTGTCATTTGTGTAGTGCTAGTTAACTTAAGCAAGTGGCAATGATATCTTCATCTAACAAATGTTTTACCATATTTTATAGATACCATTAATTACCATTATGGCTCAGGTCGGTGTACATCGTGCGTTTTCTTTTGAAATGTTGTTTTTAAGACTGGTAAATCTGTCATTACAAACTCAGAGAGCTTTTCTCTGCTCAGTTCATGTTGCGTAGCAATGATGATATTCCGGATAGAAAATCGATACTGCTTAAAAGGAAGCCACCCGGAAGAAAACCTCGAAGCGTTCGGGTGATGGAACACTTTACTAATCCGTGTATGGTGAGTAGAGGCCACCACTTAGAGGATGTTATTTAAAAAAAAAACAAAACAAAAAACAAAACACCCCCCCAAAAAAAAACTTAAACTAAATGAATAAAAACTGTAACCCTTTGTTTAAACTTATTAACTGAATTGAAGCCAATTCCTTACAGCATTTCTTCATCACCACCTGACTTTCTTTCTAGCTTACCTAACTTTTCTCTTTATTTTTGTTCATCAATCGATCTTTCTTTCTTTCTTTCTTTCTTTCTTTCTTTCTTTCTAGCTTACATAACTTCATTTTCTTTGTCTCGTTCTTTCCCGTTTACAAATCTTTCTTTCTTTTTCGATTTTTCTTTCTCTTCCTATTCTTTAGTATTTTTTTTCTTCCTTATCTCCAACTCTCCTTCTCGCTTTCTCTCTCTCTCTCTCCCTATTTAACCCGTTTCTTTTTCTAAAAACCTGACCATATCTCCCATTTCTTTTCTTTCTCCGTCTTTTATTTAGCTGTCTAAATTCCAAAACCTTTCTCCATAACTCACTTCTGTCTTTTTCAGAAAGCAAAATGTTATGGTAGTGATGAAGAAGTGAAAACTGCCCTCATTCGTAAGTAGAACACTGCCGTTGAAAGAATGGGGGGGGGGGGGTGACTATGTTGAGAAGTAGGGATAGTTAGATCTTGATTCACGATGTCTTCCTTATTTCTTATACAGGATGCGGCAGAAATACCTCCCACATTTCAAACTGTCACCTGTATGGTACGAGTGAGCTTAGCCAAAGTGGCAAAGGTGTTTTCATCTCGCTAAAGGCTTACCATTTATTTCAGATACCATCAGTTACCAGGATATGGGAACAGTGCTATAGTCAGTTTGTTACTGTCGAACTGTTGTCTTGAGCAGCGCGGACCCGGACGAGGATTTGCTGAAGGGCAGGGTTTCGTCCGGGGAGGTAGATAGATACCAATCTACATCCGCGTCCTGGGTAAGACGATAAACTACATCCGCGTCCTGGGAATGACGATAAACTACATCCGCGTCCTGGGTATGACAATAAACTACATCCGCGTCCTGGGTAAGACGATAAACTACATCCGCGTCCTTGGTAAGACGATAAACTACATCTGCGTCTGGGTATGACGATAAACTACATCCGCGTCCTGGGTATGACGATAAACTACATCCGCGCCCTGGGTAAGACGATAAACCACATCCGCGTCCTGGGTATGACAATAAACTACATCCGCGTCCTGGGTATGACAATAAACTGGCATCCGCGTCCTGGGTAAGACGATAAACTACACCCGCGTCCTGGGTATGACGATAAACTACATCCGCATCCTGGGTATGACGATAAACTACATTCGCGTTCTGGTTATAACGATAAACTACATAGAGCGTCCTGGGTAAGACGATAAACTACATCTGCGTCCAGGGTATGACGATAAACTACATCCGCGTTCTGGGTATGACGATAAACTACATCCGCGTGCTGGGTAAGACGATAACCTATATCCGCGTCCTGGTTATAACGATAAAATACATCCGCGTCCTGGGTAAGACGATAAACTACATCCGCGTCCTGGGTAAGACGATAAACTACATGCGCGCCCTGGGTAAGACGATAAACCGCATCCGCATCCTGGGTATGACGATAAACAACATCCGCGCCCTGGGTAAGACGATAACTACATCCGCGTCCTGGGTATGACGATAAAACCACATCCACGTCCTGGTATGACTATAAACCACATCCGCGTCCTGGGTAAGACGATAAACTACATCCGCGTCCTGGGTATGACAATAAACTACATCCGCGTCCTGGGTATGACGATAAATTACATCCGCGTCCTTGGTATGACGATAAACTACACCCGCGTCCTGGGTATGACGATAAACTACATCCGCATCCTGGGTATGACGATGAACTACATTCGCGTTCTGGTTATAACGATAAACTACATCCGCGTCCTGGGTATGACGATAAACTACATCAGCGTCCTGGGTAAGACGATAAACTACATCTGCGTCCTGGGTATGACGATAAACTACATCCACGTTCTGGGTATGACGATAAACTACATCCGCGTCCTGGGTAAGACGATAAACTATATCCGCGTCCTGGTTATAACGATAAACTACATCCGCGTCCCGGGTAAGACGAAAAACTACATCCGCGTCCTGGGTATAACGATAAACTACATCCGCGTTCTGGGCATGACGATAAACTACATCCGCGTTCTGGGTAAGACGATAAACTCCATCCGCGTCCTGCGTATGACTATAAACTACATCCGCGCTCTGGGTAAGACGATAAACTACATCCGCACCCTGGGTATGACGATAAACGACATCCGCGTTCTGGGTAAGACGATAAACTGCATCCGCATCCTGGGTATAACGATAAACTACATCCGCGCCCTGGGTAAGACGATAAACTACATCCGCGTCCTGGGTATGATGATAAACTACATCCGCGTCCTGGGTAAGGCGATAAACTGCATCCGCGTCCTGAATATGACAATAAACTACATCCGCGTCCTGAGTATCACGATAAACTACATCCGCCTCCTGGATAATACGATAAACTACATCCGCGTCCTGGGTATGACAATAAACTACATCCGCATCCTGGGTATGACGATGAACTACATTCGCGTTCTGGTTATAACGATAAACTACATCCGCGTCCTGGGTATGACGATAAACTACATCAGCGTCCTGGGTAAGACGATAAACTACATCTGCGTCCTGGGTATGACGATAAACTACATCCACGTTCTGGGTATGACGATAAACTATATCCGCGTCCTGGGTAAGACGATAAACTATATCCGCGTCCTGGTTATAACGATAAACTACATCCGCGTTCTGGGCATGACGATAAACTACATCCGCGTTCTGGGTAAGACGATAAACTCCATCCGCGTCCTGCGTATGACTATAAACTACATCCGCGCTCTGGGTAAGACGATAAACTACATCCGCACCCTGGGTATGACGATAAACGATATCCGCGTTCTGGGAAAGACGATAAACTGCATCCGCATCCTGGGTATGACGATAAACCACATCCGCGCCCTGGTAAGACGATAAACTTCATCCGCGTCCTGGGTATGATGATAAACTACATCCGCGTCCTGGGTAAGGCGATAAACTGCATCCGCGTCCTGAATATGACAATAAACCACATCCGCGTCCTGAGTATCACGATAAACTTCATCCGCCTCCTGGATAATACGATAAACCACATCCGCGTCCTGGTATGACAATAAACTACATCCACGTTCTGGGTAAGACCATAAACTGCATCCATGTCCTTGGTAAGACGTTAAACTACATCCGCGTCCTGGGTATGACGATAAACTACATCCGCGTCCTGGGTATGACGATAAACTACATCCGCGTTCTGGGTAAGACGATAAACTACATCCGCGTCCTTG